CTGAATTTATAGTTGCTCACAAACTGCATCTACGTATATTTCTCTTATAAAAGTTATTCAATCAATAAATTTACGTTTAGGCGCCTGTCCAAATTCAACAACTCTCCTATTGCAAAATTTTATACTATTGTTTTCAAATCCGCGGTGGATCGGATAGAACCACTAGACCCGCGGGTCCTAACCCATCCTATTCTAGCACTTAATGTCTTCATATAAAATATTTTCCCAAAATACAATTATTTTATTATAAAAAAGTTGTCGCAATGTTTCTTTTTCGTTGTATGAACATTGACACGTGACTTGATTACATAAAATTTGTGAATGTATCCAATAATCTTTTCACAATAAATAAGTTTCTTGATGTATGTAACTAAACGATCTGTTAATTTTGACGGAAACGAGTGCGATTTTTATGGAAATGATGCAATAAATTGTCGGATGTAAAAGCATCGACGAAAACAGTAAAAATCCGAAGTGAACTGAAGCACTAAAAACAGAGTTTTGTTTATTGCGCACATATATTTTTGTGCTCTATTTAACACTTTTTTCATTTTCTCTTTATTTTCGTAAGAACCACGCAGGTGGCCTTCGTACATCTGGAATATTCGCTTTTAAAACTTGAGTAAAATTTAGTTTTGTTAAAAAAAAGAGTTCTTACTTCAAGAAAGATATTTTCCAATCGAAAACCTGATCTGAATATATATAACGAAATAATTCCAACAATAATGTATAATAGACATTTGTTATATTGCAATACTTGAATTTCTTAATAATAATGTAAAGTATTTTTCGTTACATTATTAAGTAAAATATAAATCAAAATAAATTGTAGTGGTTTATAATTATTCTTAATTGAAATAATGAATAAATATTTGTTTAATTAAATATGCATCAATTTTCTATAAATCTCACAATAAGCTTTAAAGTAATTATTTAAATATTTTTATCTTGACCATAATTTGTTATTTTTTTTAAATTTATACAAAAATTTAATCAGTAAAATCATGTTTATTTTGTATTGTATTGTATTGCTACAGCACATTTTCATGTTAGTATCATTAAAAGTTTTTCTATCAATAAAATACGTCTTTTATTAAAATATACTTAAGGTTTCAAAAAATACGTCTGATTCATGATTATTTCCAATTTAAATGAGTATTATTTTTATGTTTTTCTCTACTATATGAAATATAAAAATGCAAAAAAAAAACTTTATAGTTTTATTAATATAAAAAGGGTTACTTTAAAAGATTTTGCTTATTTGGATCAAGTAACTAAAATCCAGAAATACCTCGCATAATGCGGTTTTGATGAATGCGGATTAACTAAATTTTTCATACTGTATATTTTATGCGGTCTTCGATTAGTCCGGTTTCAAACATTGCGGAATATTGACGGAGACGATTATCCGCACTATACAAGTACAACAAGTTACAAATAATAATAAAAATTATTGAATATTGTTATGGTTTGTGTTATAGAAGGGTTATGTAGTGTATGTATGTGTAATTCAATCTAAAAAATCAGAATATAATACTAGTATAGAACTTTCTAAAAGTGCGTTCGCAACAGATTATAGTTTCGTCTCATATTTTATTCTTAACATTCCATGTCGTTCCATAACTATCAACGCTGAATTCAAATCAAAACTGATACAATTGAAATTGCTTTTGTCTTACCTAGTAATTATTCATATAGTCAGGTTTAAATTTCTTTTGTATTTATATCCTGTTATTTTTTTTTATAAAACTTTTAGTAATTATTGTGTGTATTCATTTTTTTTATTGAATGAAAAATCTTTAATTTATTTACAAATTATGCTATATTACATATAATTTATTGCATACAGCAAACATTGAGCAATTTTTTTTAATGTCCTCGATTAGTCCGGTTTTAAATAGTGCGGGATATTGGCAAACACGTTACCTGCACTATGCGAAGCTTATGTATAATATATTTTTATAACATAGAAATTTATAAATTGAACTAACGCAACGATAAGCAAAACGTTTAGAATCTCTCCCATTATCTTATTGAATAGTTTGTTAATATGTAAGACAATTTTGGTGCTTTTGCCATTTCGCTGATTCTGGAATCAAGATTATCTGACCCGCCGCCGCAACTCTGACAGCAATCCAAAGATTCTTGTACGGCCTTTGCAGTCGATTAGATCTTCGACGAGGGGTGGAAACTTTGGACCTAAACGCTGAGCACATCCGCTGTCCTCTAATTAATCTAAACAGCTTCAACTAGTTATGCTGTCGAGTTTCTAGCCATCATTCACCATCGTAATGCAAAAAAATAATCGTACAATTACTTTGTATAGATTTTTCGTCAAGAAGTTTGATAAAGTTTTGTATCATCGTCATTTAAAATACTAACATAATCATTCATATTATGTAAAAATTGCACAAAAATTACTCAATATTTCTTTTGAAAATAATTATTTCTAGTAGAAAAAGTATGTTAGGATCAAAGTACAGAATTTATTATTGAAATTAATAATATTAAATCAAAAAATAATCTAACAAATTAAATTATTAATAAAAAAAAACATATATTGTGATATTTCATAAAAAATATTAGAAACTCATAATTCTCTAATATTATTGTTTATTTTTTCTAATGCTTGTGTCAAAACATGTACAGCAATCAAATATTTTTGATGATATTAAACATTTGCAAAATCAATTTATAATTCATGAATCACTTCAAACGAACTCAAATATAATGATATTGAATGCTTAGTTTTATATTATCAATTAAATTAAAGTAAATTATATACGGAAACGAAATTTATTATTAACAGAAGTTTATATAATAAACTAAACAATTTCACAACTTAAATATTAATTTTCTAACAAAAACTTTAATTTGCTGCAAATTGTAGAAATTCCACCAAATAATGTAAAATAATATAAATATCAAATTAAGTCAGTTATATGTAAATAAAAAAATAACATCTGCAATAATAAATCAATATAATACGAAAAAGAAAACAATCTAAATATTTAAGTAAATTTATTTATTTATTAATTCAAGATTATTCTTATAGAACAAAATGTAATTTTAATAATAACTCATAATTATTTAGCTGAATAATGTTAAGAATCTAACGTTTTTTGCCTTTTCAAATACCTTCAAAAGATCTAAGGGACACAATGGTTTATTATCAACAATAAAATACAAGAGCTTAAATTTGAAATTGTTACAAGCTTATCTAAATAAAGGAAATCCTCACTTCACATATAAATGAACTACAAACTTACATTATTTCATTAAAACCTCATAACTCCAAATCGTAATAAACCACAGAAATAACAATTTCGTTTTAATTATACTTTGAAATAATATGAGAAGATATAATATGTATTTTAGCTTATAATTTTAATGTTAAGATTTCATATAAATTTATAAAATAAATTAACATAATTTCAATATATCAACGTAAATATTAATATAATGACATAATTTTTAAATTTTAAATGTTTTTATTCTATTAATTTAAAATACAAAATGAAATGAAACTCTTTTTAATAAAAACAATTCCATTTATTGAGATTAATTGCTTGCAACCGTAACATTTACAGTGTCAAATGTACATAACTATATTTTTATATTTCAATATTGCATGATTCAACGGGTTTACTTTGTTAATAATTATAATTACACATTTTTCTACACTATAAATATACATAATACGTTCAGTTTATAACAATAGAGATAAAAATTATATGAAATATAAATTTTAATGCTTAATAAAATTATTCATGATTTAATTTTATCAATGATAATTATTATAAATTAAAAATTATTTAAAAAAATACATCAACACATGATTTTAAAACAATAGATTTACTAATTATAACTAAGTAGATTATTGCAAATATCATTGCATTAAGATAAAAATATCAAATAAAGTTGTAATAAAATGATACATATTTATAAAATCAAAATTACTGACCATAAGTTTTCTTTACCGATAAAATTTTATTTATTTAATATAAGATGAAAAATCTATGTTTTACAAAACGTTTCTTGATTTCCCAAAAACTAAATATTAAATAATAAATTTATTAACTAACACAAAAATACCAAATATACAGTAAAATATCTACTTCAACTTGTATCTATTCATAACAATTTTGTACAAAATGTATATTACTGTATTCCAAGCGTAAATAATATTGTTTGTGAAGTTAAACTTTGTCAGTATCGAATTGTGTCTATTCATGATTATGTTGTATTCAATTATTTTATAGAAAAGTATAAAATAAATTTTAAGGGTCGGTTAGACAATAGTCTTTTGTAACAGTTGATCAGCAATTTAAGTCGAGGTTTTCTTCACTAGAGAGGCATAAAGTTATTGTTTGCAAAAAAGAAATAAAGGATACGTCTAAAAAATCTTGACTTAATACATCAGTTTTAATTAAATAATTACTATTCATTAGATATATAAAAAATAAATGAAAATTACATGAATTATTGCTGCATTGAATTAATATTTATGTATATTTCCATTTTATTATGAAAAATAAAGCGATTTATTAATCATTTCTAGAAAATTAATGAATTTATGAGTAGATATTATTGAATTATAAATGATAGCCATAATAAAATCATTTTGCATTAATTTGATTATACTGGATGTTCCAAAAGATCAATGTTAATGCCAGTGTGAGAGGAGACAGGAATAGGTACTAAAATCCACTGGATGATCTCGAGATGGCGGCGTGGATGATGACGCCAATGCTGATGACGCCGATGCTGATGATCGAGATGATGATGATGAGATGTCGGAAGGTGTAAAGATCTGGAGTGGCGGAGGTAAGCGAACGAGAGAGAAATGCCCTTGACTCTGTTTTCGCCAAGGCAAGGTCACCGTCGTCGTCCCGCCTGCCCTCCTGTTTGGGCAAGGCTCTTCGGCTCGCAGCTCGCTCGGGTACCGGATCACATATATAATATAAACCGAAGCCAGTCAGCAACCATTGACAGTTTAAGAGTGCATCAAACCACATTCATCCACCATTCGAAACAACTTGGTCATACACCAATCCAAGTAAGTCAATTATTAAATAACAACAATAATAAGTCTTCCGCGTTCCCAAACTATGCAATTACAAGCATAGTAAACTGTACTAGTGTGTACAGTAGTATAGAAATTTTCGTGTCATTTAAACCCATTGTGTTTTATGCGAAACAGCAAACATTGTTTGCTCCGTGCTCCCGGATATGCAAATGATGCATAAACAAAGCAAGATTTTTCATAACTACATTTAAATTGCAGCGGGTTTGTTTTCAGCAAACATATACACACACGTGCTCGTAAAAGCAATGTTTAAATGCTGGGTGTACTCGTTTTTTTTTTGCCTTGTTATTGCCGTTTTGCAACTTGTACAATTATTAACTTTTCCAAGTAAAAACAATATTTACCGAATATTATATTAAAATGTCTCACTCGCTTTTTGTAATTTCCATAATTCTATTTATATTTACAGTACATAATTATCAAAATTATTTTTCTTTAAATAAATTTATTCGTTGGCACAAATAATTAAATTATCTAAATACCAATAATTATTCTTTAATATGTAATTACGAATATTATTATATATTTATTTGCTTTACGTTTCTTTTCAATTATTTACAAAATAATATTTATAGGAAGCTTATGAAATTACAAAATATTTTATGAATTACAAAAATTTCATACTCATAATTAAATAATACTCATAATAATTACAAATGCAACTAGTGTTATACACTGAAATATTTCTGTCCTTTTTATCATTTTTAATAATTTTATAAAGTGTTTTATATAAACACTTTTTAAAGTCTTGCACTTCTTAGATAATCCAAACTATATAATTACATCAACAATAATAATTTAATAAGTTAAAGAAACTAAAATAACTTTATTTAAGTAAACGTATTATAGTTGTAAAAGTATAGAATTTAGTAGAATTTATTTGAAACTTAAAAAAATATTAAATATTTCATTTTTTTATTCAATTTTCCATGTATTTAAATACTGAAAAGTATAGTTATTTCATCATTCATTAACATAACAAAACCATTATTGTTTTGATTTTCATTATACATAAAATTAAGTTCTAGCCTTAAGAAAATATGATTTCTGTTTTCATTTTAAATAAACATACTATACTTTGTGCTGAAACTGATTATCCGGACATTGCGAGGTCTTTGATTAATGCAATGCGTAACTAATTTAAATTTAAACATTTTTTCTCAAATATTTGTCAAAAAACATCCGCATTTTTCACTAATTTAATTTAGCTTAATCAAATCCAGTATTTAATTAATTATTATGATTTATGCAGTAATCTACATTGTAGAACATTATAAACTTTACAAATACATAAATTTTAATGACATGAATATTCATTTATTTACATAATTACATAATTTAGAAAAAAAACATTTTCATTTCCTTTTGATTACACAATATAAATATGTTAATAATAGATTATTTTTTACAAAGGATGAAAATGTGAAAATATGCAATTATGTTATTAAATTAAGCGTAAAATTGTAAGTGTTCGATCTTCATGAAGATTTGTTCAAGGAATTATTGCAAATAAAAAAGTTTCATTTTACTACCAAGTTTTCTAGAATCAAACAAATGTTTAATTTAAGGAATTTTAGTTTTAGTTTAAATTATTTGATTGAGATTGAAATTATATAATAAACGAAAATGTAGATACTAGTAGAGTTTCGTGTAAAATTACTCAGTAATTAATTAGTGTAATAATCGAAGTTAACAAATAATACACAGACATACTCCTCTTAGTGCGGTTTCTATCAGTCCGGATTCTTTATAGACCAGTTTGAAAATTTGAAAACAAACTAAATAGTATACAAAACTTTTTTCATTATAAAGTTAAGTCTCGTTTTGTGCACTTATTTTTGTTTTATGTGTTTATACCTTTTATTAGTCCAGTTTCAAATAGTCCGGAATGGATTACACACACTGTGAGTGATATTACTGTTGTTAATAATATTTTAATATATTTAATACACAAATTTCAAATTTGTGTATTATATAAGTATTTCCGTCCTCAGTTATGATATTTACTTAGTTAATAAATAAAGTTACATTTAATATAAAAAAGGGAAAAATATGTATAATCCACAGCTCTTAACAGTTGTTTTTCCATTAAAAGATAAATGACTATACAGAAATAATGAGTATTTATACATACAAAACATACAAAAAAAAACTTGTTTGTCAGAACGATGAATGGTATTTTCTTCAGTCTGAACAATTCACCTTCTACTAATTATACTTAGCCTTAGCCTTGAGAGTAAATTGTTATTTTATCAATCGGATTACTAATTTCTCTGATTGGAACAACAACAAATGTAATCATTTTCTAATTATTTTGTATTACTCATTACATTCATTACTACACGAAAAAATATAATCATATATTGTGTACTAGTAAATTATACAATTAATATAAATTGATGATATTTTTCATATAAATAAATCACTACAAAATATTGCATTTTTTCAAAATTATATGGGATTAATCAAAAACTCGATAAATTGGTTTATTTTATAGTTAAAAAATACATATACAAATATAGGAACGAGGCACTGTTTGAACGAGGACTTTAAGAAATAGAGACTTGAAAAACAATCATTTTTGTACAATTAACTTTATTTTTTAGAATTAGTTTATTTTTAAATTTTTAATCCGTACTGTAGTGAAACCGCACTAATCGAAGTCCGAATGCAATTAATTTCTGTATATAGAAATATAGTACATTTTTGTCCTTTAAAATAATAAATTTTCTCCATCATATTAATTAATTAATTACACATATTTTTTTCACGAAACAAATATTTATTTACAATTCGTTAATTATTAAAGTTCTTTGATATATAAATAAACGTGTGCATCTGATAAAGAATCCTGCCGACTTCAATTATTTTAATTACTTCCATCGAAGCAATTACATCAGCGCGAAATAATCTCTTCCAAATGATGTGACGTGACGCATTGAAATCATTTCGGTCGACACACATGAATATTTTTCAATGGTATCAAAGTGTTTATATATGTCTGTTTATGTTTCTTGTTTTTTTCTTTGTGCATCAGAAGCCTTCTCACGATTACATCAAAGAGTCAACGTTCCTTTTATAAAAATTGAATACCTCTGCGGAGGACGAAATCAAATGAAGTTTCGTAACGTATATAAATATTAATCGAGCAAAGAGATTTACTTGTACGCTCATAACTTTAACTTGCGCATCGTTGTAATCAGTTGAGTATTAAAAACCTGGATTATCCAGATAGAAACAACATTGAGAAATGTCTGAAAAGTTCGTGCTAAATATGTATGTATGATAATATTTATTTTATGCGCATTATACATGGTTGTGAGTATGAAATTCATGAACATCAATGTAGAGAATACATACAAAAAATTGCACATGAATAAATAAATCTCGTATACAGTGGAAAAAAGAGAATTTACAGATATTTCATTTCATACATAAAAAGGAGGAAATTCATAATACTGAATTAGCTTCTTTATTTTTGAAATTTTTTGTTTTTAAAAAATATATTCTCTTAGCAGTTACTTTCAATTAAACAAAAAAATGTATTATATAGAGCTAAGAGATTTCTTTTTCATTATTTAAAAAATAATTCCTTCTTAAGAAATTCTAATGGTATTTTCTTCTATTAATTGTAATAAAAATAGAATTGGACTTAATTGCTCCTTAATCGAACCGATAAATATTCTAGAAATGGAAGTTTTTTTTTACAATTTGCAAATCTTGCTTCCAATAATCTTCTTAACTATAGTTGATATACTAATAAAATTTATTATTTTGAACTTTAAACATTATAAATATGACTTTTTATTACGATATGTTTACTTTAATGATTAAAACAAGAAACAATAGTTTTTTTATATAGATTCAACAAAATAACTTATCTAGTCTAAATATAAGTTGACGTCTGTACCAATCCAAGGTTACATTTTTTTTTACAAATATTTCCTGGTTTTAGAATTAAGTATAAGTTGTTCTAGTTCTGACAACATTAATTATAATTTTTAGTGTTGGAAAAATTATTTAAACTAATGTAAATTAAATCATTTTTCAAGTATATGGAAAAAAAGGAGAAATATTTGATTTTAGACAATGTTTTTTGTAAATATTTATAAAATATGTATAACTAATTTTTAAATAACTCAATTTTCAATGTTTTATTAATTAACTAACTTAACACTACAATTGACTAAATTTTAAAAAAATAACCTTTTCAGAAAAAATAAATAAAGGTTTTGTTTGTCATAAAGGAGACTTTTTAAAACGGTTATCAAAATTATACATGATTTAATTGAAAAGTTTGTGAAGTTGAAAGTAAAAAAAATCGATATTCGTTTCAAAATTTATTTTACATTCGGTTGACTAACAGTTCGGACTTTGAACAAATTGTACAAAAAAAACACTTTCGCAAAAGATTTGTATATTCGGTTAATGAACACAATTTCAAAATATAATTGGTTAGATCAGTGGTTCCCAATCTTCATTATGCTATGTCCCACCAAAGCCTTTCTAAAATTCTTATGCCCCTATGTAACATATACATAATACGCAATACGGTAGACATGATTATTTCTAATTGCCCCACTGTCGAACTGGGTCCCACCTTAGGAAACACTGGTTTAAATTCTATATAAGACTGTTATGCTAATACTGACATAGGAAGAATGGCGTTAATTCAATATGGGAAAATTTCTTTATGTTATTGTTCCATTTTCAAAATCGAAATTTCCTCATTTTTTTTTTCGAGTTTCAAGTTATATGTTAGATATTAAAATACTTGAATTTATAATGATTTTTTCTGCTATATATATCTGTCTTTTAAAGACAATTTTTTTGTTAGAGTTTCAATATCGAATTATCTATAATTGTTTTGTTCGAGTTTCAAGTTGTGCGAATATCATACCGTTTTAAATAAAAATATGAAAAATGTATTTAATTTAAGCTCATATGCATAATAAGTTTAAATATAATATATCATAAATTATATATAGTTTACTTAATTTTTTTTAACTAAATAAAATATTAGTATAAATTAAGTTAGTCACAATTTGAAATAATTCGGAAAGACAAAAGAATAATTTCCTAAATTTTTGTATTCAGAAATTATTAGATATGGTTTTAGATCAATGGTACCTATTGATCGCTATCCAAATTTGAGTCTTGTTAAATGTTTAATGAGTTGAGAAATGACAGCTGTCAAAGCGATAAATTGGTGAAAAACTATTAACAATTGGGCTGCAGTATAACTACATGTTTTAAAAACTGTTTTAGATAACAGTATAAACAAGATGAAAGAAAAATGTTGTTGTCTCTGGATCTGTTAGCAAGCTATTTGTGTTGAAAGATAATATGGCTTAAAAATACAATTCTACAATATTAAATTATCGAGTATAAACGGTTATGTTATATACGAGTGGATGCAATTCAATTGCAGAGAGACAAAGAAAACAAGAAAGAAACAGGTATCTTTATAAAAGAAGAGCAGTTTGTACGTAAAAGGCTTGGGTCAAGAGAAATACTGAAGAATTTATTGGAAGGTTGCAGCTCGAAACTGTTTACATCTTTAATATAATTGGCAATTTAAAATTATGACATTTTATTTAAATAAAATGTATTTAATTAATACCTAACACAAAAGACACTGTGTGTATAGACATTATATTACAATACAGTTTATTTTGTTGTAGGAAAGTAATTATACATTTCATTTTTAATTAATTGAGTAGTACGAAATTAGAGTATTTTCATTATGATATAATGCCAAAGGATATAAACTCCAAGTAAAATACTAGTAATTATTGTGTGTAATTTCTTACTGTGAGTACTTTGTGGGAAAATATAATGATCATCAATGGAGCTTTCCAGAAATAACGCTAATTACACGAAACACGTCCTTATTAGGATTAATGCTGAAATTAGTACACTTGCTGGCAACCGCATTACAATTGCCGCAAATTTTAATTACAAATAATAATTTGCATAACCGAACTTTGTGATTCAGTTAGTAATTAGTTGCTGTTGCTGTATTTGCCATTGCGCGTCTTCCCAACCGAACCACCACCACCCCAAACAACAGATGGAATCGGGGGTTTAGGGATGAGATGTTTGAGATGAGAACTCCCGCTAACCAAATTGAAAATTCTTCTCTAACCCCATTAATAAGCGTGCACATTTTTTTGTTCTTCAGTGCGAATCTTCGCCCTTTGATGCGATAGGGGAACAAATTTCTTGCGTAACTCGATTGTGTGGGGGACTGGGGCGGTTGCAAATCCCTCGGTTTCGGTTAAAACGACCGATCTTAACGTGGCCGTGGCGGTTTGCGATCATAGTTACATAATTGAACCGGAACCGGATCAGTGGTTAATCCGCAAAATCCCGACCAGGGATGGCCTCTCTAAACTGGTTATCTACAATTAATGAGTATCGAGCGACGGATGGTATTAACCTTGCACCAGAAGTGGATTCAAAATAAAAAGAGCAAACTTGATATCACGTTTCGCAACTTGTTCTCATTCTGTTTTTGTTTGTATTTTGTTTTTTTTAATTTCGTTTTGTTTTCTACCTTTTTCCTTGCCTTTCGGACTTGTTTTCGGTTCGAGCCTGGGGGCTTTGCGTTCCCCTTGAAAACACGTTTCAGGGATCTTCCTGTTAAAGTGAATAAACTTGCGAGGTCGCTTTTAACTGTTGAACGCTATCCAGTTTTTTTTTTATTCCATTTTAAAGTTGTTCTTTAGTTTGTTTTTTTAGATGCTAAAGAATCATTATTTCGAATTTTATCTTTACAATAAATTTTCTTATAGAAGCCTACTATATGTTATAAATATACTTACGACTTCATTTATAGGCTTAAGTTTCAAGTTGTTGGACTTTCGAGCAATAATTCAACTTAAGAAATAAAATAAATTCATCACTTAAATATTATTATTTATTTTTCATTGAGTTTCAAAATCAAATTATCTTCAACCTTTTGTTCGAGTTTCGAATTATTTGGATTTTTGTGATCCTTTGTTTTTGTACGAGTTTCAAAAAATAATTTATATAAAAGTCAATTAATCCATTCAGAACCATATGATATGTTCGAGTTTCGAAACACTATTTTCATGGATTTTCTGTTTGTAGTTTAAGCTTTTCGACTTTCCTCGTAAGAAATAAATTCAATTCAATTAATAAACAACACACTTCAAGATGTTATTGTTCCATTTTCAAAATCGAAATTTCCTCTTTTTTTTTCGAGTTTCAAGTTCTATGTTAGATATTAAAATACTTGAATTTATAATGATTTTCTCTGCTATATATATCTGTCTTTTCAAGACAATTTTTTTGTTGGCGTTTCAATATCGAATTATCTATAATTGTTTTGTTCGAGTTGTACGAATACCATACCGTTTTATGTTATATATACTTATTTAGTACATGCCTTAAATACTTGAATTTGTAATGATTTTCTCTACTATATATATATCTGTCTCTTAAAGATTTTTTTGTTGTAGTTTCAATATCGCATTTTTCTTATTTTTTTGTTCGAGATTCAAGTTGTTCGAATACCATACCGTTCTATCTTATATATACTTAGTATATGCATTAAATACTTGAGTTTCTAATGATTTTCTATACTGTGTCATAGATGACGATGCAATCTGATGCAACTTTACAATATGTTTCAGATAACGAAAATGAACTCATCAATTATCCTGATTCTGGGCGTGATGGCTGCAGTGGCAAAGGGTCAACTGTATTCCCATGTGATAACCGTTGGGGCAGGTCATGGTTTCGCAAGTCCGGGTGTGGTTTACAACCCGGCGGCCGCGGACCCCAGGCATTTGGCCCATAAAGCGGTCGTCGAGAATGCCGCCGTCGAGGCGCAACTCCCCCATGAACTAATCAATCCGTTCTACAAGAATCCCAGGATCGCTGCCGGTTTGGCCAAGGAGTCCTGGTTTGGCGATAAGGAATTCCCGGTCTTCAACAGGCAAGCGGACAAGATTCCCAGGGAGGAGATCGCCAAAATTGTACGCAGGATCCAACACCAGAGGAGATGAACGGTGAATCTTCAGCAATTTTATTAAAAAAAAGGACAAAGTGATTCCTACAGGATTCAGTGATAATGGACGATGACGAATTAGATTTAATCCTTCTTCGTCCATTGACATAATTTTCTGTTCTCTTACTTTTGTTTTCTTCAACATACTACGTTTGTTTCCCCCCTTCGTTGTTGTACATAAATAAACGCCATATTATATAATATTTATTCTAGATCTGCTTCCGATATTTATTGCAAAATGTATATATAAAACCAATTTGTATTTGTAAAGCATTCCACTGTATTTATTTATTACCCCAATTCCCAATAAATATCAGTTGAAATCATAAACAATTTCATATGAAAAAATAAATAAAAACATAACTGAAATGAGAGAATTAGAATAAACATAGAAATTTTTAACCCTTTTATGTTTATTGTAATACAAAGAGAAAATAGATAGAAATGACAGCAAAATCTACTATCAAAAATACACTTTATCTGTAGTTGAAATACAAACTGTAGAAAAGGAATTTTTTAAATAAAAATATGAAAAATGTATATAATTTAAGCTCATATGCATAATAAGTTTAAATATAATATATCATAAATTATATATAGTTTACTTAATTTTTTTAACTAAATAAAATATTAGTATAAATTAAGTTAGTCACAATTTGAAAGAATTCGGAAAGACAAAAGAAAACAGAATAATTTCCTAAATTTTTGTATTCAGAAATTATTAGATATGGTTTTAGATCAATGGTACCTATTGATCGCTATCCAAATTTGAGTCTTGTTAAATGTTTAATGAGTTAAGAAATGACAGCTGTCAAAGCGATAAATTGGTGAAAAACTATTAACAATTGGGTCGCAGTACAACTACATGTTTTAAAAACACTGTTTTAGATGACGGTATAAACAAGATGAAAGAAAAATTTCGTTGTCTCTGGCTCTGTCAGCAAGCTATTTATGTAGTAAGATAATATGGCTTAAAAAGACAATTCTACAATATTAAATTATCGAGTATAAACAGTTTATGTTATATACGAGTGGATGCAATTCAATTGCAGAGAGACAAAGAGAACAAGAAAGAAACAGGTATCTTTATAAAAGAAGAGCAGTTTGTACGTAAAAGGCTTGGGTCAAGAGAAATACGTATTCTGAAGATTTTATTGGAAGGTTGCAGTTTACATCTCCAATATAATTGGCAATTTAAAAATACAAATTTCATGAAACGCATGCAATATTAGATCATTATTTTTGTTTATAGTGAGTTCGTATATCATAGAACTCAAATTACATTATTTGTTTAGTCATGTAAATATGAGTAAGTTTAATATTACTATTTTTAAATCAATGTTTCATACAAACTCCTTTGTGATTCCTACAGTCAATAAAATATTTTGACAAAAAAAAAATGAATGTTCAATTTCAAAAGAGTTTCATAATATTTTTTATGGGTAGAAATATAATGGTGCTAAATAATTGTAATAAACTGACAAAGTAAATATTGTCGTTATACGAAATCTGTAAAAAAAGATTTAGTTAATTTACTAAAAATTAAAATTTAATCAAACCGAAGAATTAAATTTAAAATTTATTTATGTTAAATTTAACAATAATTAATACATAATTAATTAATCCTATATACTTGGATAAAATAAAATGAAGATATAAAGAACTTATTACTTCTTTTACATTTTCTAGAGAAATTTCATACATATATTTTCACTACTTTTTTAACAATTTTATTTTCTAGAAACAAATAATAA